GTTAAATTATGGCACAGTTGCGTATTTCAGAGACCTCTACTATACATAGAAGACGTGAAAGTTGCTATTATGTTTTTATTCGGTCAACCAATTTCCAAGGCCGTAATTTTAAAGGAAATAATTCACACAATTATAATCGAATATTACCGAAACATCCCGAAATATAAAATTCAATTTAATTTCTCAGTATGAAGTGAACGTCTGGTATCCAAAAACTACAACAAAAAATACAGGTCCGTATTAAAAAATTCAAAGATGGGAGTGGCCCAAGTCAGATGACACCCTGTATAAAAGATTCATGGATATATTCTGAGAGCTCACATCAAAGTGCCACTAGCAAAATGTGGACATATTTTCAATATGTCTGCGAATAAAGAAGATATAGGCAAAATAATAATTTGGGATTTTTATTTTTTCCTGTATATCTCCAGAACCAAAACCACATCATTGAATAGGTCTCTAAAATACACAACTTTGCCACAATTTAACCGACACTCTATCTCTTATCGTTTACGAGATCCCCATGTACAGAAACATATCTACAGGAATACCCTTAGTATTACTTGCCAAGCAGCAGTCCATAAAGCAGCAGTCCATAAAGTCACATTCCATGGGAAAGATATCATAGCTTCTTGCATTATTATAGCTTCTAGCATTATTACGAAAGGTGAAATTTCAGAAGGAAGCACAGGAATCAAAATTAAAAGATATTTCAGGATCAATAATAATAATACCGGTCTTTTCTCTAGGTGATGCATGTATCTTGATTTGTTCTTAGCTTGTTTCCGGAAAAATCCTAAAACTTCACAAGGTAAAATCAGTTGGAAGATGCTCTTCTTACTTCAATTTGTGGAAAATCCGATTCACCATTTTTGAGTTATATACAATTGAAACGTCTTTAAAATTTACTTTTTATTTGAGAATTATAGTGAAATATAATTTAATCAGAAACAGTCATGGCATTTTCCAAAAAGTTCATATAAGATACAGAAAAAAGATATATGATTTTTTTTCGTTTATTCTTGATTTTTGTTAGCATTCCAAAATTTGAATTTCATTATTTTACTGTTCATAAATTATTTTTTCAAATAATTCATTTTTTGGAGGTATAAACCTCAAATGTAACGAAGAAATCATGAGACCACATTTGTTCAGAAAGAAATGAGGTTTTTAGGAATAATTTTTACTTCAATTAATGCTACTTACAATGATTCAGTGTAAATTGCTCACGGACGCCACTGGCAAGAAGAACAAATTATATTATGTAGCACAAAAACATATGGGGTTGTCAAAAATTCATTTTTTCTCAAAAATTCAATACCCTGTACTTCTCGAATGTTAGGACTTTTGGGCTATATGCTATTATGATTTTTTTATCACAATGGACTCAACTGAGGAACTCTGTATATTTCGTTTCCAAAGAAAGTAGCATTTATTAATTTAGTCATATAAAGATCCTAAAATTATCACTGGACGCCTATGGAATTAGCGGTTAGACTGCTGGTCGGTAATAGAGCTGTAGGGAAAGGTTATCCGAAATGATAGATGTTCATTCGGATTTCTATTTATCTGGGATTAAGGCCAAGGGAACTGAAATGGGATTTATCAGATACGCTTGTTGGTAATTATTTGAGTATAACTTTCAGAACGTCTGAAATATTCCCGATTTATTATTCCGAATGAAACAATTTATAGAGCATTACGAGTACATGAAACTGTATAATGAGGTGGTTGGGATTCGAAAGGCGAAAAAGATTTACTTGAGTTAGTATTAATATAACCATTATATTAGTACACAAATTAACACAAAATACGAATAAAATTAAAAACCATTCATAACTCCCAACTCACAATGAGCTGGTCAAATATTCTCTGATGAATCGAGAACCAAAATTATAGAAGGAGGAGAACTAAGTTCTACAAATACTACATAATGTTAGAAATATCAAAACATACTAGTAAGTATTGAAATATTTAGGAAATAAAGAGTGAATAAATTGTCGTCGTTCGGTTTTCTAAGTTATGATAGTTGTTATAGTGTGGGGTAATGACATTTGTGATTGTGTGAGCATGAATAATTGCAATTAGAGTGCGGATCATTGCGAATCTATCCACTGTGGATGAAGACGAAATAGCACGAGAGAAACGCCGTACTAGACTTTAAAGCTAGGATATAATAACACCTTATAATATTTCGTAGGGGTGGACCCTCTAGGCACCCCCCCTCATATACGTCGCTGCCTCCCCTATGCCCATCAAACGAAAATATTCATAATAGCGGCCAAACAGATAATTTACAACCCACAGACGTCTCTTACTCGAATATGCCATAAATTACCTGGCATTTACAGCCATCGAAGTACAGGTGACACCCGTACATGTTACATAAAGCTGCTAAGAAGCGAAATACATAAAGGATGCTCTGGGGAAGATGTAAAATTTCGCCGTCGCCTTGACGTTTTGAAACGACGTGGGACGTAAACAGACTCCCGCGACGCTTGCAAAAAGACGTTAAAAATGCAGGGTTTAGCGACATCCATTGTCTGTCGAAAAGTGCCATATAAACAACGTTCTAAACATGTACTAGTTGCAGGAAGCCACGACAGTAATTTTTTGAGAGTTTCTATTCTGGGAATCCTCAGGTATTCGGTTTCATATTCTCTTCGGTAGCTTCATTATCACAAATGAGTTATATAACATCGAGGAATGTTAATCGATAACGAATTACTTTGATCTTCTTGTTTTCTTTTCACTTCTAACGCCAAATCCACAAAGGAATTTTGTGGATGAATATAGTCAGCTTAATACTGACTTAGTACTATGGTTCTTCTATCAGATGTAACTCGTTTCTATTTAAAATTAGTTTTTTTCGTAACCCTCAGCTACCATTGATGATTTCTATGCCCCATGCGTCAGAATTATAGTTTTATTTTGCACCAAAAGCCGTTAATAAGATAGTTATAAATGGACTAAGCAATGGCTGGTTGAAAGTAATAAGCGAATTTAGGAAATCTGTGTTGTCAATAACTGTTCTGATTTAAGCTGTGTACATTTAACTTCGATAAACGAAAGCGGTGCTAGAAAACAACGAGACTAGTTTTCTGTGGGACGAATTGTTCGAGCCTCAAGGTCAAACACAATATTGACGAGTCGCCTGACATCCCCCCTCCACATTGCAGTCACTTAGATGACACTAGCTTGCTCAGTTGGGCCAAAGCCTCTACGTTTTGAGTAAACAATGTATCAACGTCAGATTTTGAATGAAACTCTGTGAATCCGCAACAGAAACATATTCTCTCTCACAACAAGTATATGGGGAAGAATTATGTCACGTACACGGTTTTTCAGTTATATGAACATTTCAAAGTGGGGCGAGAAGACATTGAATATAATCTATTCCCAGGACGTTCTTCAACTTCAACAACTGATGAAAACATCGAAAACATTGGGTACCTGCAAGATAAAGATGAATGAAGAACATTGAAGTTTTAGCCGCTCTCCGTAAGCGACTAAGAAGAAATCGATCAGAGTTGCGTGAAAACAAGTGATCGATGTTTCATTAGGATTATGCTCCAGTCCATAAACAAGTGATGGATGTTTCATTAGGACAATGCTCCAGTCCATACTGCTCTGATTGGTGAGTAGTTTTTGGCCAAGCATACACAATATTACCAGATCTAACTCTGTGGAAAAGCGAAGGAAGTATTGAAAGGAACCAGGTTTGATACAGTAAAATGACTCGAAATACTGTTCTGAACAGTGAAAAATTTGAATGGAAAAGTGTAGGGATAGTAGAGGGGAGAATATTGAAGAGCATAAGGTGAAATTAAATGAAAGAATACAAAGTAAATGAAAGAATACAAAGAGTTACACCAAATATCCTGTTAGTTTTTAGACAAACCCCGTATTCAATAAAAACAGCTGCCTACTGGATGAACAACTGTAAATTAGTTTTAACGTTCGGAATCCACACTTAGTTTATATTTTCATCCTCCTTCCAAGGCTCTGAGATGCGTATCAATTTGTGCTTATTCAAAAAATATATCTTATTGACAAAAATTTAATTTTTTCTTTTTTTTTTCGTTTCAAAACTGCAATAGATATGTTAACACTGTTATATATGAAGAAAACTACGTAACAGTTGTGGAAGGAATTCTTCAGTTTTTTCGGACAGATCATTCATATAAGTTCACTCGTATGTGTTCCCAGATATATTTTCCTAGTATTCTTCAGATTTTTTATTGTTATACCAAAATCCGCTTATAGCCCAGGTATCTAATATATCTATTCCGGTCTAAAAAAATTAAATATTACTGGAGTGTTTTCCCAACACCAAACCGTTATTCAAGAGGAAGATTTTCTTCTTGAAGATGATCACTTGGAAACCCGTGTCGAAGTGTTAAAATAACGGTTTGGTGTTGAGAAAAAACCGCTGTGGTATACTGATGCACTCAAGACAGAATTATATGCGTCAGACTTTACTGTTCGTGTGAATGGAAAGCAAAAATTTCAAATGAAGAGTATTGTTTCATTTATATCGACGTCGGGTCATAAAACATATATTTCGCTATGAATTTTTGAGTATCACTTTCATTGTTAAATTATAGCTGCCCTTCCAAACGCAATAAAATCGATTTCATAAGCTAATGTGTTGAATTCGTTATAAATTAACAACAAAAATTACTGAACCGATGAAACAAAAGCCATTCTATCGGATGGGGCGTTTTAATTACTTTGCTTTTATTCAATATCAATTCATTATATCGTAACTCGTGCAGGTCATATCGAACGAAATATACGTCATAATGAATGAATAACGATCGACGTATTGCTCACGTACCATAAAACGACTGAATAATTCATTTCCCGCCATTACTATAAACTATTTCAATATCGATATGATCCCTGTTTGGTTTGAGAGTTTTCATAATTGCATTTTTCATCATAAACAACTTTGCTTATTGACAGAATAGAGAGTTAACGGTATTTTTTTATTTCAGAGAAGTTCGATATCACCCGCCGAAAAATATAGACCAAGGACACCACAGGAACCTGAGCTGAAGAAGCCCAAAAAAGAAGAGAAGGACCTTGGGCACGTAAGTATGAAAGTACGTAGGTTTTAACACTACTAATACGTTTCTCATTTGCACAATTAATCAATAACTAATATATTATTTGTTGTTTATTTTCACCATCGCTATTGCAATCACTACACTGGCAAAAGTCTGCGTTGTTATGACACTCGTTATTACTATTAGTACTTGTCCAAGAACGTCACATTTCAAACAGGTTACAAAAGCAAAAATCGCGATCAGTTTCTGAACTGAACACGACGGCGATAACATTCCCCGATTTCCCCGCATTCTATTCGTCACCATAACATGACTTCAAATTTAATTTTATGACTCTTCAGCCAATCATAAAACTCGGTTATTAAAAATTATCCAATACGAACCGCCAAGTGTGCAGTCCACATGGACTAGTTCGGTTTCTATATATTGTTTTTTTTTGGCATTTGAGAGTGCACAATATCGTTTACTTCGACTATACCTAGTGCTCTAGTTCATCAGGAAAATCGTTTTTATAAAGTATGTTGTTGAATATCTATCTGACAAACAAACAGACAGATAGGGAAGCGAATTGGTTGTTGAAACCAATGGTGACCAAAGAGTTGATAGATGAAACCAAAGATATTAAATTGATAAACTAAAATGGAGTTTGATAAAGTATAACACAAAGAAAATCTGGAAGAGTTGGAAATTTTTCAACCAGAGGAATGACAGGAGCGCAAAACGAAAATTTCCATTCGTCATCGAAAAACAATCTTATTTAAGAGATGTAAACAGCCCTCTGGTAGAGTTGTTTAAGAAACGCTACCAGAAATGATAAATTCAATTGGGTTTTCTGGTAGCGGAAAATACTACTGCGTGTTTTACGATATGGAAACCTCTCAAGATCTTCAGATATGTTAATAACTCGAATCTTATCTTCCATCTTCTGTATACATTACCTGTTTAGTATGTGTCATCGACAGGTGCTCCATAAAAAGTTTCAAGTTACGGCATGTAACAAAATATAAGTAAATCATCATGAATTATGTCATCGTTAAATGGTGATCAGGCTTGGAAAACCAAACCCAACAAAAAAATGAAGAAATTTAAAACTGGCAGGTGGCTGTTTATCTTGTTGATTTTATTATTTTGTTAACAATAAAGAAGTACAGCTCAAGGAAATGTATCAAACAAAATTTCATGGGATGAAATGTATGTTGGTACTGTGTGAAGGTGGTTCACAATGTTTCATGGTGAATTTCGTTATTTCGGACTTCCATTGTCTAATATGATATAAAATGATTTGAAATCCCTGAAAGAATCGATAAAATTGAATGAATAGTTGAAAATAACATTTATATTAAGTAAAAAAACCCTGAAAGAAATTACAATAAAATAAAATACAAGCAACAATTGAGATTTGGACAATAAGAAGGAAATAAAAATTCAAATAATTCAAGAAAAGTTATTTCACTACGTTTCGATTGTTAGTATCCACAATTGTCTTCGGGCGATGACTGGACTTCTTCCAAAAGATAACTATTCATAGGTCATTCAAGTGCTTTCATCTATCCCCTCTCTCTGATTCACCGATTCAGCGGGAGTTGAACGTTTTCCGCTTGATTCAGGGTTTCCACATGTTGCGTGTCTATACACTAGCTTGGCTGAATACGTTGTTGGATTCTTTGAATTTCCTCCTGAACCAGTGTTCCTTCCTGTGTATGATCTTAGCTTGGGACTACTCGATGTTGTGTTGATGAGTCCAAACATGCTCTGTTGTTATTTCCGATTTGCTGGTTTCTAATCGCTGTGTGTATTTCTTGTGCTCCGCAATGCGGACTTTCAGTGACCTCTCAGTTAGTACTCATGAAAGTATAACCGCTGCGATGTAGGTATACTATTAAAGTAATATAAGTAATGTGGTGAAGCTCTTTCCAAAGAACATAGATTCAGAGTAATTATAGACAAGATATCCTCCGAACACCAGAAGGGATTGTAATTGTAATGGAACTGCTATTGTTCTTTTTTTTAAATAGATGTCTCGTCATCCTGACAACAAGAACATTTGTGGTTCTAATACTGAATTTATAGATATGCCAGTGAGAGCAGATATCTTGAAGTGGTCCTCATGGGAAAAAAATTAATGACTTTTATCTCAAAAAAAGTATACTTTCCTTTCAGAACGATTCAGTTTTTCCGTTTGAAAGGAGTTGTACTTTTGACTTTTTTTATGGGATACTTTAACTGTGTTTTTGTGTCTTGTGGCTACATTTGTTTCGAAGACAAATTAAAGAATTAGTTCGAAGAATTACTTCGATTCTTGACTGATTGTTTCACCAAATGTATTGGCTCGATTTTCTCCAGACGATTATGTATACTCCTTTGTTAAATGGGATTTTTTGTTTTGGAAAGATATGATTATTATTCTACTCTATTTGCTTCAAAATGGATGCACTTCCATCTTAGGTCTGCAGGGTCATTTATCTAAAAATCAGCCAATGTACCTACTTGAATGTAATTCGATACATGCTTTGTGGCATCGTTGGCAGACTTTTAAAATTGTTTCTATATCTATGCTTGAAGTTGTGGTCCAAATTATTATATTTAATCCTGTTTTATTGATGCCTCCAATCTGAACGGTACAACCCCATAATCTGAAATCTAGAATAGATACATTATTATATTCAGCTTATCGAAATTCCCCTGTCTCGAACGGACTCTATCACGTCCTCGGCATGCAAAACCAAGCACTGCAATAAAAATGAAATACTCGTATAGCAGTCATGTAATATATCTGAATGCACATGTACACGATCAGGACATGCCAGGAACATGCAACTGATTTGCGATCGCCAGATAAAGACCCGTCTGAGAGGACCACTGGCCGCGCTCCTCCAACCCCTCGCGTAGGCTACCCAGCGACAACTACGGTCTATTTACCATATAATAGGCCGTTTATGGTGTTCCTTGATATCTTGATATCACGCGAGAATCGTAAATCGTATTAGCTGCGCTCCGATGGTGCTGCGTTTTTCATGGGGGCATTTGACAGTTGCGCAGATATCGGATTCGTGATGGTTCTCCGGACGATGACGATAATTATGGTTATGGTCTTACTGGAAAAGTGGATGTCACGGTTCATTTTTCCCCAAGTAGCCATCAATTTTTCAGGAGAGACGTGTCTGGTATTCTTCATTCTAGAATGTTCAAGCGAAGAGGAGTTAATGAAGACATTGTAAGAATGATTAAGTTATCAGATCGCAATCTAGGGGTATAGCTCAAGTAAATGATAGAATGCAACCTACGTTAGGGAAGGAACTAATTTCGTTCAATAATCATTTCTGATTTTATAAGGATCACAATTAACCGCAGTTGTCGGTTGATTGGTCAAACCACCAACACTTTTTTGATCGAGTGTCACATCAACAGCTGCTAAAGAAACTGTCAAATTTTGGCACATCATCTAATATACAGTTGCTCCTGAAATCATATTTATCCGACCAATGTTGAATGTGATTGTATAAAATCCTCCCGTTTTGTAGCGAGTTCGGGTGTCCCACAAGGGTCTAATCTAGGACCGTTATTATTCATACTATTTATAAATGTCATTTCCTATGATATCACTTCTCATAAATTGCTATTTGCAGATGACATGAAAATATATCGCGAAATCCAAGATGAAGCAGACTGTTTCACTTTGCAGGAGGACATACATTCGTTGACTAATTGGTGTATTCGTAATAAATTGTACTTAAACACAAATGAATGTGAAATAATGACAATCACACGTAAAATATTACCGGTAACATTCAACTATGTACTAGATGTTGAAGGTTCAAGGCGAATCACGGAATCAAACGATCTGGGGGTTTTGTTTGATCAAAAACTCACGTTTGATACGCAACTGGAAGGAATTTAAGACCTTTCATTCTTTGAATATAGTTTACTTAACACTGATCAGAAGTAAATTAAAGTACTGCAGTGTCGTTTGGAATCCGTTCCACATGAAACATAACTAGTTTAGAGAATGTTCAAAAATTTGTTTTTAAATATGCATATTTCCAACAACATGGTGCTTATCCCAAGAGGGGTTATAGCTTTGACTCATTGTTGGATGAGTTCCAAATGATAACTCCTAAAAAATTTAGGCAAAGCCGAGTTATGGTTTTGCACATGAAATAATTCATGGACAGATAGATTGCTCGCCTCTATTGCCTCAAATGCTATTCAGTGTACCGAGTATTTCATCTAGATTCTGTAGCACATTTCATATTCCAGTTTCCAATACACTGCATCATTTTCATTCTCCCATAGCTACTATACCTAGAACTGTTGATAATGTTCCTAGTGTAGATATATTTTTTCTAACGTTCAAACAATTCAAAAAAAAAATTCTTCGTTTCATTCAAAATTAATCTTACTTTATGTATAATTATCATATTTCCAATTGTATACACCTTTAAAGCTCCAAAAGCTTCTTATAATTTCTCTTTCATATTCTCTGTTTCATTATCACTGTCGTCATTCAAATCAATAATGAATTAATTTCCATCATTAATATGGAAGTGTCCAATCTCCATATAGTCTTTTTCAACTAAAATTACTTTTTTAATACTGTTCTGCCAGTCTTCTTCGGTATTATTGGAAACTTCTTCTTTAATTAGCTCTATTACCTGCTTCTCAAACTTTGTTTGCAGGCATGTTAGGCGTACACATTCTCGAACCATCAGTCCACCCTTTCGTAAGTGTGTCGTGAGTGTCATACCAAGTTTTGTCTAAATAGAAAATTAGCCGTTGTTCTTGTCTATATTTAATTATTTGTTTTAAGTATTTCTTACGCAATTCCACTATTCTTCTGCTTTTCATAACTGTTTGACGTTTGTTTATTATTTCAAATCTAAACCCTAGTTTCTTTATCCAGTTCTGAAGAGTTTTGTCCCAACAGCTCACGTTGTGGCCGGAAGCGTTGGCAAAACAGATTGAATGAATGACAATTTGACAGATGTAGCTTCAACAAGATGTCCGATATCAATTGTCAAAGTTCG